TGAACAGGAAACTCTGCCTGGAGCTAGGTTTGAAAAAGAAAATATATGATCCCTGGAAGCAAGGTCTGTCTTCATAGGGAGAGTACAGAGCTTCAGTTTTCATCTACAGGGAGAAAATGAGAAAAGTCAAAGCCCAGCTTGAGTTGCCACTGGCCAACATGGTGTCAGACAACAAAAAAGTCTTTTTCAAGTATATCAACCGCAATTGGACTAATAGTTGGAGTGGAAGATCACCTAATGAGAAAGGAGGAGGACAAAACAGAGGAATTTAATGCTTTCTACATTTTTTTTTCTTCTTCCTCAGTATTTAACAGTACTGACAGATCTTGGGCAGCCTGGCCTCAGAACTGGGGTGAATTGGGGATTATGACTGGAGGAGCAATGACTTTCCATCAGTATATATAAAAGGACTACGTCAGCTCAACGTGCCGTAGGTCAAGATGGGATTCACCCTAGAGTACTGAAGGAATCAGCACCCGCTATAGCTGGACACCTTTCAACAATTTACCAAAGGTCATGAAAGTCTATGGAGGTCCCTGCTGACTGGAAAATAGCCAGCGTCATAACCATCTACAAAAATGGCATGAGTGAAGGAAACTGCAGACCTGTTTATCAGTCCCTGGAAAAGTTATGGAGAAAATCTTCCTGGGTGATTTTGAAAAGCACTTAAAGAACAAAGCTGCTATCAGGCATAGTCAACTTAAGTTCATTGAGGGAAAGTCCTGCTTAGCAGTTTGATCTTCTGTGATTGGGCCACCTGCTTAGTTGATGAAGGCAAGGAAGTGAACATAACCTTTCTGGTTTTCAGCAAGGCCTTTAACACAGCATGCTTCTGGACTGGTCCAGTTCTGTTCAACATTTCTGTCAGTGATCTGGATGCAGGAGTTGAAAACATCCTTTGCAGGTTTGCTGATGGTACTAAACTGTGAGGTTCTGTTGACTCGTTGGAGAGATGGCATGCCTGCAGAGGGGTCTAGACAGATCAGAACACTGGGCAGTCAGCAATAGCGTGAAGTTCATCAAAGATAAATGCCAGACACTCGTTATGGGTTAACCCTACAGGAAGCTAAGCACTGCACAGCTGTTCACCCACTCTTCCCACCCTGCCAGTGGGATGGGGAAATAATTGGAAAAAAAGTAAAATCCACAGGTTGAGAAAAAAGACAGTCTAATAGGATGGAAAAGGAAGGAAAACTAATAATGATAAAAGAACACACAAAACAAGCGGTGCACAATGCAATTGCTCAGCACCTGCTGACAGATTCTCAGGGACTTTCCTGAGCAGCAGTTCTTCTCTCTGGTCACCTCTCCCCAATTTGATCCATCGTGATGCCATATGGTATGGGATACCTCTTTGGCCAATCTGGATCAGCTCTCCTGGGTTTGTCCCCTCTCATGCATCTCCTCAGCCTCCTTGCTGGCAAGCTAATGGGGAAAGCTGGAAAGTTCTTAACTTAGAGTGAGCACTGCTGTGCAAAAACTAAGACATAGGTGCATTATCAAAATCATCATTGATGCTTCATGCCTGTCAGTTTTCAATAAATGATTGGATAATGCCCTCAGTAATATGTTTTAACTTTTGGTTAGCTCTGAAGTGATCAGGCAGTTGGACTAGATGATGTACAATGGTCCTCTCCAACTGTCCTGTCCTGTTCTACTCTACTGTTCCATTCTGTTCTGTTCTATTCTGCTTCTCTCAGAAGCACGTAGACTGATTCCTTATTAATCCAGCAGCCATCGTTTCAATAAGTCATCACCAATTAGAGATGAGCCTGAGGTACCCAAATCACATTTAGGTACAGAAATCCTCGCAAGTTCAGGCATGAGAGGATCAGAGGTATCACTTCAGTCTACCAGGATAGCAAAATAACAAGGGGATAGTGCCACAAATTCAACTAACTTGGTCCAAGACTTATCCCCGTCTACCTTTATATCTAACAGAGAGTAACACACAGCTTTAGAAATTCACCTACTGTTGTTTTTTTGTGTGTGTGTGATGTGCAGTCAGTAGGTCAGTTGGCCTGAGACAACTGTTGTGTTGTGAAAATTCAGCGCATGAAATTTTGGAGTTCTCCAGCTAAAGATATCCTGCATGTAGACTGCAACTTCAGCATGGAAATGGTTGATCCACTACACCTAAGAATATTGAATTTGCAGGCAAAACAGTGTAGACAAATTGCTTATGAAGCTGGGGTGGGGACTCCATTTATCTCACTCATTCCCCACATAAGTAACAATAAAAAAGGACATGCTCTTCCCAAACACCTATTATTCAATGACAGTTGAAAGTAATCGCCTATTGCTCTCTCTAGATAGATACATATGAAAAGAAGAAGAAAATAACTTCTACTGTTTCTGAACTTTTCCTTCAGTACAGTTCCAGGCAGAGGTGAGCTCTACAAAATGATTTCCACACCTACAACAGGACTTAAATGGTCAAATTAGTAAATCATGCAGACGGATTCAGAGCATCAGATTAAAAGCAGAAGACTAAACCTATTAGTGCTCACAACTTCCCACCCCATCTCTCTGATAAGAGCTAGCATCTCCCAGAGTGGGGGTGCCTAGTTTGCTTAGCTGTATTGATGAGGGCAAAACCAGCCTCAGATGCCCCATCACAAGTCTAACTGAGCTTTCAGGTGAAAAGTGGAGTTGCAAAACCTTTCACCCTTGGAGTATTCTGACAATTTTACCTAGAGAATTACACAGACCCAGAAAGTCCTTGAAGAAGCACTGCTCTATTTCTGAAGAACCAGACCTAGTAAATACCCAGAGAGGACATAACTCCAGCCTGCTGCAGTTGCCACTGGTGCTGATGAAAGCAAGTCTTTTAACAACCGTCACAGTTGTTAGAAAGACCCAAGAAACAGACAATCTTCTCCTCTTGGCCAAGTTTCAATTCTCATCCCTGTTTAGCCAAGAGAATGATCCTATATGTGTCTTGATGCTTAATGCAAACACCTGCAGTCCAGCTGAGGCTGCAGCACCATCCTGCACAGCTCCAAAGGCACAGGACTTTGTTTGGAGGGGATGAAGGCTGGCTCTCCCATGAGAAGTCAAGGGCTCACCTGGAGTCTCAGCTCCCAAACGTTTTGTAAACATACAAAGATGTTGTAGATCTTGATGAGAAGACCTTGGCTTGGGTCTGACATTTTATGAAACAAATTCCTAAGAGTCAGCTAGTTGGTAGTAAGGGAGGCAATGTTTCCCCCACTTGCATTCCCAGAGAGTACTAACTCAAAAACAAAGACTATGAATTTAGCTTGACACAGGCATCCCTAGTTTTAATTCAACATGGGACCACAAGAACTCAGCAGGATTATGCTCTCTTTACAGCTCTGAGTAATTTGACTTACACACACCAAAAAAAAAACTCCCAGTACTTTGGTAGCAAATGATGCATATAACACACAGCCAAATATTTAGTAGCACTAAATATGTTATGAGATCAGTAGTGAGCTGCACAATTACAACCAGCATTGCACTGCTCTAAGCTTCAAATGTTAACTCTTAGCATCATATTAGCATGCTCTAGTTAATAATGTAAACCAACTAAGACTCTCAAAATCCCCTATCCAGAAAGACCTGTTCTGCCAAGATGGTTGCTACCTAAAGATTGGAAACAGGTGACTGTACTCATGCTTTTCTCCTCCCAAAGCTACTTTCTTCCCCTTATTACCGTGGATAGCTTGTCTCACAGGAAAATACTGCAGAGGCAGTATTCGTGCAACACTTTATTACACTGCTGAAGACTGGGAATTGGTTCAGGTGACAGCTTCCTCTCCCTTACTCAGGCTGAGGAAGTCAATAGCACAACATCATTACAAAGTCACGATCTGAAAGAAGGTAAGCACGCAAAAGACAGTATTGGGAGAGTTTGGAACTTCACTCAGGCAAAAGAACAACAGGAGATGCAAAATGCAATATTGCTAGAAACAAGTGGTGGTCTGCTGCTGGGGTATTTACAACTCCAGTGACAAAAAGGAGTCTCTTCAAAACCTTAAGGGTGAAACTGCAGCAAGACTGTCTTAGGAAAAAGGAAGAAGCAGATATTTACAACAGACCAACATCTAATTATAGCAAAACATGGAAGACTCTCTGTGGCACAAAATGCAAAACTGGAACTCACACTTTGAGATGAGAGCATGCTTACGTGACTGTGAAGAAATCAGTACATGCAGGAGAGGTGAGACAAGCTACCAAAACCCTTTGCAAGAGATGAAGGTACTCAGTAAAACTTAATATCCAAGGGTATCTGTTCTGCTTCAAACAGTGTTAGCTAACTTGACTACAACAGCATAAACTGTACGTCAGAGCCACATCCTTCCCTCCTGAATTCCCATACAAGGAAACTGCATAATGGTCAGAAGAAACACACAGTATAAGCCTGTAAGTCGCGTATGACATGGGGAAATATCGATTCTCAACATGAACAGCACTTTCAGGATAATCAGAAACCACACTTCTAGCCTCTGGATTTGGAAAAACTAAGCAGCGAAACAGAAATTTTAGAATGAGGAAAACATACTGCAAAGGAATGAAAATCAAAATTCCAAGAGTTGCAATTTAGCTTACTTGTGAAAGCACTTAAAACAAAACAGAATAAAAACAACAAACTTCCAAAAATCTGGAAGTATATCCAAGTTGGCCCTGACAGCAAGTTGTAAAATAACTCACAAAGGGTATTTCCTCCTGCACGCTTTTTTAACATGTAGCTGAACAAAAGCACAATTTGAAAGAGCTTTGCTGCTTTTCTGTGGAGCCATTCCAATCTAAACCACCTGTTCAACCTCCTCCAGCTTCAGTTGGAGCCAGATACACACAGGGTCACATCACTGCAGGGAATGGTCTACTCCCAAAACACATTTCAGCTTTATAAGATTGAGCCTGTGTTCTGAAGCAGCTTTATGCTTCACAGCTTGTTCAGAATAAACTGTTGCTTAACAGACAGTATCAGTTCTCAACCATTTTAAAAGTGTTTTAATTAGCGAGTTCCTTTTGTGATTCATGTATCTTATTTATTTAAAACGTGCTCTTGCAGATTCACACATTTTAATATTCCCTTCCATCAGTGTACAGTTCCCAGAAGTAATTCCTGTCAGACAGTTTTTTGGTTTTCTGAAAATACACATTTTCCACCCTCATCACATTTTCAGTAATCTCTATAGATCAGACTATAATAAAGTGCATATATTCCTTTGTTATACAGGCAACTAAGTTGTGGACTGAAAAAATAAATCATACTGCAAATTGAAAACCACACACACACACACACACACAAAAAAGCTCTCACTGCTGCCATTTACCACCCCACAGTTAAGTTATCCCACTGAATACTGCCAAAAATATTTTTTTCCCCCAAGAGTCAGTTAGCTGTTTTTTGTTTTTTGTTTTTTAATTGAACTTATATCATTAAAAATAATGGTTCCTTTTTAATTAGATGATGATAATCATGAGTTTATGTAATCCTGGAAGCCGCAGTTACTCCAAGGCTGGCAGTCTGCCTTGACAATTTGTGTTACGTATTTTACCCTTTGGATCCAGGCTTCAAACTTGCAAAAGCTTTGGAATTCTTAAGGGAATGTGAAATTTCATTGAGAAAAGAAATAAAGTGAGAATCCCTTTCTGACTTCTTGGACTCAAAAATAACTACAATGGTGAAATGAGGTTCAGGGCGAGTCAGAAAATATGTGCTTTGGACTTTGTCATCGTAGAAGTGAACAACTTTCTCCAAACTGTTCAGGTCAGAGGTTCTGTCAGTCATAATCATGATTACGTTGGGCCAGTGCATAACAGGCCTGTCATTGGGCAGAGACACCACTGCAGGATACTGATCCACTCCTTTGGGAGCTTCCCTGTAAGAGTGGGGATGATGATAACCATGTCCTTGAAAGCTCTCCGACCCACGATTGTCAAAGATTAAGGAAACATTGACAGCATCATATTTCCGAATAAAACTGGAGATTTTCCCAAAGTAATCAGGATTTGTTTTAGCAGTCAGAGTTTTCATTTCAGACGCGGTCGTTTGTCGGCTAAGGGCCTCGTGAAAGTAAAAGCTAAACTTGGCAAGGAGAATGTTTTTGAGTTTCACCAGCCAGAGGAAGAGGTGAGGAGGTTGTACAGCTTTCTGAGACTGCCCCCCAAACAGATGCTTCTTGGTCTCTCGTTGTTTTTCAAATATCTGGCCCCAAGTCTGTAGCTTTGTGTGAGCGCTGTGCAAGTTGACCAGGGATGGAAGGAATTTCCACTCTGAGATCTGAGCCTGAGCCTTTAAGAGATGCGCAAGCACATCTACTTCCAGCTGGAAACTGCTTTCAAGAGGACTGAGGATTGGATGATGAAATCTAGAAAACACAACATTATTCAAGACATGAGAAATTCTATACACAAAAGCTAGTGCTTCTCAATTCACAACAGAACACAACACATCAAGGCAGACTGAAGCATAAGCCAACAAGTTATCTTGTTAATTTAAGAATTCCTACTTAGGACAAACGTTTTAATAAATATACAGCATACCTACATCAGCCTATATTGATTCACAAGCTATTACAGAACCATTCCTCTTTAAATTCAAGTGGTTTTGTTTCAATTAATCTTCCAGTGGCAATATGTCTTGATAGTTGTCAAACAGTACTAAGATATTAAGTTTAAATAAAGAAAGTTATGTTATAAATTCACTGCTCACGTAGGGAAGTTATGAGGAAACCAACTTGAGCTTTCTTTCTTTCCTTTTTTATTTACAATAAAACACTAAAACTGTGACGGGAAATAAATCAGCAGAACCACGATTAACTGTATTTACTGTTGAACCCATTCTCAAGTTTGAATGTTGGTGTGCCAGGAGCAATGAAGAGGAAAAATATTCAGTAGAATCTCATACTTTAACAGTAAAAGATTCTCTAACTCTCAGCACATCTCCCTCTCTAAGAATTCAGGGCAAGACCAGCTCTCAGTTTAACAGATGCTATGAAAATCTCATCCATAAGGTAGAAGTGCCAATGCACATCTTATTCACTAGAGTGACCGTACCATTAGGACAAGTCTCAGTGAAATGGAGTTTTAATTGATACATTTTATAGCTTTCTCTTCTCCCACCTTTTGTCTATTTTATCTTAGCTTTACAGAGGGGGAAAAAAAAACAAGCCAAACCACCCCACCACAAAAAACCTCACTCAGATCCAGTCTACTTCCTTCTCCTCATCACTCAAACTCATAGATTTGTAACACTGGAGATAAATACACTTTAATGCAAATTGTGCAGAACTGCTCCACTTACAGAAGGTAAATACTCAACTTCTGAAAGAAAGAACTTCAGCTAAGACAGAAGAAGCCTTTTTAATACGTGTTCCCATAATATGCACTTAGGTGACCTCTTCAAGAGATCTCCAACAAAGAGCAACCCACACTTTGGTTCAAAACCAAAACATTTCATTTTGTTGTAGGCCAAAACAATGGACAAGAATTTTAAGCTTTTCCCCCTCTTCCTCTTCACTATTTTTTCTTTGGCTTTTCACTCAGCTTGCTACCAAAACATCAATGCTTCAGCTTGTAAAAATTGTCTGATAGCCTTATTATTTTTCAAGGGTCCCCTTTTTTCTTGACAGCCACAATACATACTTTTGAAAGGATTTGCTTCTAAGACGTAAGTTCAAACTTATAAAAAAAAAAATTAAATGATGAATGTGGTAGACCAATCGATTTCCCCCCACTCATTCATGAGAGCACAGGGGTGATGGTTCTGTTCTCCAGACTACAAAGACGACATTTTTCTTCAACTTCTTAATTTCTTTCTCTAAATCACAGATGCATACAAAGCTACAAAACACTGACTAGATGAAAGCATTTAACACAAGAATAATTACATCAATACAGATTATTTATTCATTATATATTAAGCTTTTATAGACCTGAGGCTGTTTTACTTTCTCCAACTGAAAACATAAACATTCTCCTCCCATACAGTGCCTCCTTCATCCCACAAAAAAAAAAGTTCAAAAAGTTCAGGAAATGCTGATTTTCCAGCTGTATTTTACAGAAAACATAGAGGAAAATGTCTTCTACTGGCTTTACAAGGCAGGAATAAGCACTAACAAAATAGCTTCCAATTGTTCAGAGATTGATGATTTTCAGATGTAAAGGAAAGAAACCGAGGCCAGAACCTGCTGGAAAACAGATTCCACATTTGGCTTACAAGTATTGATTGATAAAATCTGACCTTTCACTTGAGAGAGTCAACAGACTGACAGAGAAACGCTATATGGCAAACACACATAACAGCCCTCAGAAACTGCTCTGAGATAGGACACAACTAAAAGAAAGAATGAAGGATGGACTTTGTTTCAGAAATATCCTCTACAATACTGGGGAGAACCAAGCTACCCAAACTGCTTTAGTAGCATCTTAGAACGTCTCCATCATTTTACGGTTCATTGGATTAACAACCCTGAGACTGTAAGGGTTTACAAATCAAGAACTGCCAAAAATTACTAGTAAGATTATATAAATTAGGCTTCTAAATAATGATGTTACGCAACAATTTCCTTAAAATTATTAACAAAAGCAAGGGGAGTCAGCTGCAGTGCTTAGGTTTGGAATTTTAGAAACACTGTCAGCAGCACTGAATTTTTTTTAATGTACATTTAAAAAATCTTAACTAAAAAAAAACCTCACAATATTTCACCCAAATGTCTTCTTAGATGCTACTTCACTAACAAAGATTAAAAAGAATCCAACTACACTTGAAAACTATCTTCCTAAAACAGCTATCCTGTTTGGCTTTTAAAATAAAAGCATTTTTACAGCCATTTTTGTCTGCTGTCAAGTTACTCAAAATTTCTTTTCTTTTTAAAATGCCACCACTTGCACAGATCACATTTTAGCTGACTTTGAGATCTTAATGTAAGAAATCACAAAGGCAAAACCACTAAGGACTTTGTGCTCCTTCTACTAACTCCAGTAGCTCTCAAAAGAAGTGATAACAGAAGACCATAAAACCCTTTCAGGAGGATCAGAAACAATAATAGTCTATACTAAAAGCTAACAATATTGTGAAATTAATCTGAAATTTACTCAGATACAGCCACAAACTAATGCATGGCTTTAGAATGTGTTGGCTCAATTCTAAGTTTAAAACTAAAATCAGCATCTGTTCTATTCCTAAACCAACTTCATAGAGTCACTGAATGGCCTGAGTTGAAAAGGACCACAATGACCATCTAGTTTCAACCCGCTGCTATGTGCAGGGTCACTAACCACCAGACCAGGCTGCCTGGAGCCACATCCAGCCTGGCCTTGAATGCCTCCAGGGATGGGGCATCCACAACCTCCTTGGGCAACCTGTTCCAGTGTGTCACCACCCTCTAAGTGAAAAACGTCCTCCTAATATCTAAGCTAAACCTCCCCTGCCTTAGTTTAAAACCACTCCCCCCCATCCTATCACTATCCATCCTTGTAAACAGCCATTCCCCTTCCTGCTTATAAGCTCCTTTCAAGTACTGGAAGGCCACAATGAGGTTTCCCTGGAGCCTTCTCTTCTCCAAGCTAAACAATCCCAGTTCCCTCAACCTTTCCTCATAGGAGAGGGGCTCTAGCCCTCGAGCCCTTTTCACTCAAGTCTATATTGAATTAAGTCCTTGTTTATCCTACAAGCACAGCAATGGACGTAAGAATGGAATTCTTGCACTTTTCCCATAAACAACATTATTCTTTGCTCTCTGCTGAGTATGAATTAAGAAATAGGGAAGATGGCTCCTGTAAAGTAATGAATAGAATTTTCTGGGTTTTTTTGAGAAGTCTTACTTTGAGCTCTCAGCTCAAGGGTGGTCGTTGCTCACCAACACTCACTTCATGCATGAATTCATGCAAGGAGCCATACTCCTCAGCAATGAAAAGACAGCAACATCTTTAGGCTTTCAGCCTTAATATAATTTATTGCAGATCACATGCCCGAGTACTTACTGTCAGAAAATAAGCACTGACCTTGAGCTATATTTCTTTAAGATGGATTCCAAAATGTTTACCAGTTCCTCAGAGTTAATGAACTTTTGGGTGCTGAGCGTGTACATTTTTTCATAGAAGTCAGCAATTTCCATCCGAGCCTGAACAAAAAAACAGAGCTGTTCAGACAGGTGAGAAAGCAGCTCTTCCAAGTGAGGAGCTGTTCCTCCTAGTGCATTGCGACCCGTCGCCACCACCTTCTTCAGCTCATTATGCAGAGATGTGTAGATGGTTCGGATGGAGTCCTTTCGGCTGAAGAATGACTGACCACCTGTTCAGATAAATATGGAGGTATTACCAAATTCCAGGGAGAGGAAAGACAGACAGCAATACTGGAAAACAAAACCACATTTGTTTTTTCCCCAGGTGTTCCTAGGGGTTTTTCATCAAGAAATAACTTTCAGCCTATGATTTTGCAAGTATGAATTGCACACAGAAGCACTCTGTGTAATTTGATGCAAGTCGTGCCTGCCCCAATTCTTATTTCAGCAGCCAATGACTGCTGCAAAATTTCTTCAAATTCTTCACACCTGTCTTAGCTACAGTATGGGCTTTTTAACAACAAGGGTTTAGTTAACTCTGCTACTATGATAAACTGTTATCTATGGAAGTCATGAGTCAACATGAGGTTTTAATAGGCTCAGCTGCTGTTAACAATTCTAAAACTTTAATGGAGAATTCCCTTAATAACACCCCCTCAAACACAGAACACGCAGACTTGCACAGCAGCCTTTACATGGGAGATGTGATATTTGTGTGGACAAACCAAATGTTTCCAGTTCCTACCCTACCTTAACACAAACCAGAAGTCAAAGGGGAAACAACAGTTTATCTCAGTAGGACCACAGTGCAGGCTAATTCATAACTAAAACTGAGAAAAAACAAAGTCAACGCTTCACTTGCTTAACATTATGATTATTTTAAAATAAATAATTTAAAAAAAAAAAAAAGTAATTGTGAAAAGGTTTGGGTTGGAAGGGACCTTAAAGATCAGCTAGTTCCAACCCCACCACCACCAGGGATACAGACAAAATATATTCCTCATTGATGTTACCAAAAGACTGTGCAAAAGTACTACTCTTATTTCGTTATTTTCATTTCCAGATGGCTTTATGTGCTGTTGTGCCACTCATGAGCAGCAGCAGAGCAAGGATCACAATGAACCTGCAGAACTTTGTTTTTTTTAAGAGACGTCAGGTTCCATTTTGAAGCTGCTTACAACTTTCATAGTGGTGTATAGTCCTTTCCACATCTATTTTACACACGTAACGTTCAAAAGTTTCATTAGCAATTTGTAGCAGAAAAGCATAGAACTGGTTATCATGGAAAAACAGCTCCAAGCCAAGAGCTGTCCCAGGATCATGGCAGGGGAACAGACACCTATTGCTGCTGTTCTTGAGGTATGCATGCAAACAGAACTATGCAAGTCCTTTACAATATCAATTCTGCACTTTCTGTAAGAACCAAACACACTTTTAGAAGTCTGCTTTACAATAAGCTTTTTCCCTCTGTAAAATTCTTCCTATAAAATAGTTTAAAGTCACCACTTCAACATAAACACCATAGGAGAACTTTCTTGTTGCTTTACTGCATTATACAGCAGACTTGCATCCCTTGATCCAATTTCCATGCCAGTCTGCAGTTCAAAGAGAAAACAAGTAGCTCTGCTCAGAGGACAACATGATGATGGCTTGTCCTGTGTGAATTAGTTTTCTCTTTTCAGAGAAGCAGCTAAGATTGTGGCCAAGGTTTCCTGAGATCCTGCAGCATCTACATGAATGGACAACCTTCAGGAGACAATCTCCAGCCCTACACACGTTCTGACACACACGCTGTTCTTGTTTTAGGGCCTGGAACCACAAAGTGAAAGAAGCTCTTGGCGACCCCACTAAGCTCACCTTTGCCAGAATCTCAGCCAAGTGCATACCCACCCGGAAACAGAGCTGGTTACAGCTCGGGAACCGCAGCCAGGCTGCTTATTCCCCAGCACGGGCTCGGAAAGACTCGCTGTGCCAGCCGCAAGACACCCTTCGGGGTAACGCGAACGTCAGAGCGCACGGAGGGCGCGGACCCAGCGCTCGCGTTCCACACATGCGCTGCACTCCTGCGCTTCCCGCAAGCCCGCCCGCTTCCCCTCCCCGCCACGGCGGGACCCGGAGCAACGCGGAGGCCCGCTAGGACCGTGTCGGGGCCCGAGGGCGGCGGTACCTAGCTTCTGGCCCAGGAAGGTCATGCTGTGGTAGGCCTTCTCGGCGGCGGCCAGGTGCGCCAGCCCCGCCAGCAGGGCCAGCCAGCTGGCCCCCGCGCTCTTGTTGGCCTCACGTTCCTTCTCCACGTTGTCCTTGGCCTTATCGTACGAGAAGATGCCCAGGTGGGAGAAGAAAGTCTCCAGCACCGCCTGCTCCACCGGCACGGGCGCACCCAGCGGGATCGACTCCCCCATGCCGCCGCCGCTTCCGGGTTCCGCTCCCAGCCGAACGAGGAGCCCCGCTCGCGCCGCAGCCCCCGGAAGTCCCTGTCACGTGATGCGGGCAGAGACGGGCGGGAGGGTTGCGGTCACGTGAGGTACGACGGCCCTCCCCGTCATGCGGCGCGAGAGCACAGATGGGCGCAGGGCATGCCGGGAGGCGCCGCTCTTCTGCGCGTAAGGCGCTGGCCGTCCCCGCCAGCCAAAAGAGAACAGGAGTGCGCGGAGCACGGGGTCTCCGTCCTGAATTGTTTCCTCTGTAGTTTCAATCAGAGGCCGCTCTCATGCTACGTTGTTTTCTCCATTAAGTGCCCAGAACACAAGGGCTTCTGGGCAACGGTAGCTTGGATCCTAAAGCACCACTCCTGCACGATCTCCCACCTTGTACAGACCTGTGGCATTGCAGCTTCCAGTCCCACCTGACATTTCTGCAGCCATTTTAGGGATCCTCAATTGCTCAACCCACTGAAAAGGAGAACTAATTTAACCTCTAGACAGATGAACTCCTTGAACAGATTGGAAAAATGAGTACAGCATAAAGCAGAGCTGTGACACAAAGCCCACAGAAAGGGGGCTGCTGTGACAGCATTGCCTGTTCCAGCTCCTGAGGAACATCAGAGCTCTGTCCCACCCACCTCCTTCTACTGAAATTAGCAGGCACTTCTCTCTGCATTGAGCTGCAGAGCTCTCCTGCTGTTGTCCCAGAACAGCAACGTTCCCAGCTTCCTCTGGCCAGTATTTCTCCCACACTCTTCAACTGGGCTGCAGATAACATACAGAAAACAGGCTACGAACAGGGGCTTCCTGGGTATTTGAGACAGAGTTTACAAAGAAACATGGAAGTGAAAGGTTCAAATAGACCTTTATTACACTGAGTAGACAGCACATTTTTGTACTTAGAAGAAAGTATTTGGTCTCTTGGTGGTGAAACGTGGTTTGTGCTGACGACGCAGAACTCTGTGTGGCAGAGGGAACTTGATTTTAGAATCCTGCAAGGAAAATATTTCTGTTGAGATACTACATCACTACTGCTCTACACTTCACAATACTGAAAAGACGCACAAGGTCAATGATTCTTTTTGAACAAGATGTCTGTGAAAGGCACATTTGTTGTAATATAACACACGTTATATTTTGACTTTAATAAAAGGGGTTTTACCACAAAGTAAAATATCTGTGAAGCTATGAGGGCAAGTTTGGTTCCCCCTCCACACTCCTGCCTGCAAAGCAAACCTGTACCAGACACAGCTCCCTCCCTCCAGCCCTCTACCAGACTGGGGCCCAGCAGGCACTGCAATTTTACTTACATGGAACTGCTTGACTGCTGGCCTACGGCACTTGCTAGCAGCAATCTGCTCAACTTTCATTATCTGAATGGAGTGAGCACGGGCACGATGACGGGCTCCCATATCACGGTCTGCAACAAGAGAACTCATAACTCAATGTTTCCAAAAGAATGCCATCTTACTCTTGCCTGATTTCAAGATATGCACTTACAGAAATAATCTAGATGGAATTTACCTTTTTAAAACAAGTGAGCTGATTCAGAATCAACACTGAAGTATTATTAATGGAAAAACGTTCTTAAAATTCCTAAATGATACAGACATCATGGCATTATGGCAAACTTAAGTTCTGAGGCCTCTTAAGCAATCTACATTAACTTAATAGGATACTTTCTGTTAATTAATGTAGAACCTCAAGTTTCACTTTCAAGAGCACCTCAGCTCTGGAAAGGCGACAAGATCCATATAATATTTGCACACACGACAAGAACATCATTACAAAGAACAACATTCTTTGGGTTTTTGTGTGCATTTTGTACAGTTCCAAATTCAACTATCAACAGAATCAGCTATACAAATGGTGTACCCCTCAAATATTTTACATAACAGAAATAGAAATGATCTAATCTGAAATATTTCCTCAACAAGGCCATTCTGAAACATCATACATAATAAAAGTCTAGAGCACCTCAAAGGCTAAGAAACTCAGCCTATAGAGCAAAGCTCGTTTTCACAGCTACTCAGTGTTACATACTGATCAAAAGGGAATATTTTCATCTAGAGAAAACATATGAGTGTGAGATCACACCTACAGACCTCTCCAGCAGCTTCCTGATTTAGTTTCCTAGAGTTTCATTTTGCTTCTCATGGTTTAAGACAGCATTCTTACCCAGACTTTATGCTCAGTTTAAGATTTAAGCTTATGTTTATATAGAGGTTCTACCTCAAACAATTACACAAACTTACAGCACTGAGTGACAGCACCAGCAGTGGTCAAATCCCTGTACTCTCTGTACATGTTGTGAGTTCCACTACGAGAATCGTAGCGCAGCCAAATACCAAAATTTTTTACCCGCAGAGGAGTCTTCTCATACACCTGGAATTAGACAAGGGGACAAAAGAAGTTAAATACATCATCAGTATTTCAGTTTAACTGCACTGAAAGCTTGAATGAAAGCAAAGTTTTAGTGAAAAAAGATTTTGTCTCTTCTCCCACACCAACACAGCTGCTGATAATTTTCAGTGAAAACACTCAAATTCAGCTTTACATTGCTATGGAAATAAATGGAAAAGGACATCCTATAAGCAATAAGATACGTAGGCATATGTTCTCCAAGAATTATGAATGTCCACATAACTCTTAAGAGGTATAAGCCCAAATAACGAACACTAGACCCTGAAAACAGTAGCATACAGTAATGACTTAAGTCACCATAGCTCCAGAAAGTTAATCTTGGTTTTTTTTGACCATTTGTTGTTTCCTAAGCTTCCTGGATGTATACTGCCATTTTGAAGAGGAATGTGTTGAGTAACTTGACAGCAATAGAAAGGTAAGTTGAGCTTAACTTCACTCCTAGTAGCAGTGCTTCGTGTAACTTTATCCTATATATACCAGCAGGAATTCCCTTCGAAATCACCCAGATTACCGGGTTTGCCATCCCCCACCTGGCCGCAATACACAATCTCCCCAGAAGACTTTTTCATCTTCTTCAGCTGAGACACGAAATACCAGAACCGGGACTTGGCGACAACGTGGTTGGGAGCGAAGATCCGCATCCGGTAGAGCGGAGGAGTCCTGCATTTCGGCGTGGGCAGACAGCGCCCGACCACCTTGTACTCCCGCAGCTGCAGGGAAAGACAGCGGCGTGAGTCGCGATGCGGCGGCTGCGGAGCGACTCCCCGGGGCCGGCACCTCGACGAGAGGCGGAGGGCGGAGGTCCCCGAAGGCGAGGAGCCGCACCGAGCCGGGCCTCCCAGCGCCGAGGAGAAGCCGAGCTCCGGGAGGCCGGCAGCGCCGCCCGCCGGCCCGGCCTATGGCGGCTCCCCCTCACGCGTCTTGCCAGAGCGCCGCCGCCATGTTGGCCGCTGGCCTCCGCGCGGGGCCGAGCGCGGCCCGCTCAGGAGCGCGGAGATCGCACGGAGCCCGCACGGCCGCGCTCCCAACGCCCGGGGCCGGCCTCGGGCCCGCCGCGAGACACGGACGCGGTCGGAGCGCCCCGCGGCCCTCACTCACGGTGCCCGACGCCTTCATGCTGCCGCCGCCGCCGCCCGCAGGAAAGGAAAGGCCGCACGCGCGGCCGCCTCACGTCACCCGCCCGCCGCGGCACCGCCCGCCGCCGTCCCGCCCTCCCATTGGTCCGCGGCGCAGCGCGCAGGGCGAGGCGGCCGTCAATCTCCGCCCGCGACGGCCGGCCCTGGCTTCCGGGCGGCGGCGTCCGCGTGGCCGAAGGAGGAGGCCGCGCCGCCCCGCTGAGCGGTAGTGCGCGTCCAGGCGGCCGGCGGGCCCCTCCTCGGCAGCGCGTCGGTGCCTGTCGGGGTGCAGCCCCGTCTCTGTCGCGTCGGTGCCGCCGGGTCCCGCATACGTGGCGAGGGGGTGGCGGCCCGGGGCCCTTTCTCACGTTATTCTCAGAACGGGGTAACCGCGGTAACGGCGCTCGCGAGGCAGACGCCGCAAGCCGCCTCCGCCCGTTGAGGGAGGGGGCGCGGAACCGCGCTCCCGGCCCCCACGAACGACACGCACGGGCGCGCTGCGACGCGTCGCTCGCCCTCCGCAGCGGGGGCGGGGCGGGACGGGACTACGGCTCCCAGGGGCAGCGGGGCGCACGGGCCGCTAGGGCCGTCCCGAGGTGCCGCGGGGCATTGTGGGAGCTGTAGTCCCGCGGGTGCGGCGGAGGGGCGGGGGCGCCTTCCCTTCGCTTCCCGGACGCGCTTGGGCCGCGCCACCTCCCCCGAGCCGCCTCCTTCTGCTCCTCCCGCCGCCAGCCGAGGCGGCGCGGCCTGCGCGGCCCGGCCCGCTCCCTATGCTCGTGGCGACATCGGAGCTGTGGGGCGGGAACCGGCAGCGCCGCGATGGAGGAGTGACCGGGAAGGTAACGGCGGCCGGGCGGGAGCCGGGATTCAGGCGGGGGCCGCTGAGGTGGCGGCGGCGGCCTCCGCCGGTTTGCCGACCCGGCTGCGGGCAGCGCTCCGTCGCCCCGCGGGGCTGCAGAGGCGGTCGGCGGAGGCCCCGGAGCCGCGGAGCTGTGCCTCTGTGCCGGAGGGCCCGCGGCATCGGCGGGGGGAAGGGGAGAGCTGGGACACGGGCAGCTGCCGGCCGGCTGGGAGCGCCGTGCCGCCCGGAGAACTTTCTAGGCTATGGGAGAAGTTGTGGGAACGGCCGTCGTTACGGCGCTGCTCGTATGTGTGTTAAGCCGACGTGAAGGCTTCGGGTCCTACGAGAGCCCGAGGCTTGCGGCGAGCAGAGCAGGCAGCAGAAAGGAGCGCGTAGGGTTGGCGAGAAAGCTCAGCGTGGACGTGGCTCTGCCTGCTGACACGGCCTTGTAAATACCCCGAATGAATGGTGTAAATGAGGCGCTTCAATCGCTGATTGTTCTGATGCTCATCACCTGTAGTGTGTGCTCTCAGCACGCTTATGGCTCAGCCCTGCCTGCTCCGAGCACCGCGCGCCTCTGACCATTAATGCTGTTACGCGTCCTCCTCCCCCCCCAGCCGAGCCGTGACCGCGTTTGTTCCTTGTGTAACTGATGGCCTTCTGAGTGGGCGAATCAAGCTGAAACTCTTAGAAGAGGTTATATGGTGGAAGATCAAATGCTAAACGTGCTCATGTCGTGTGTGCAGGGATAGCAGAGCTGGCTGGCTCTGCTGTGAATTGAACGTGTGAAGGGAGCACATCTCTGAGCCACGGTACTTTTAATAGCGAGGCTTGTCAC